AGTGACTCTTCCTCCCTGCCATATTTTAGCTTTCAGGCCATCACCACCACACTTGCTTAAGCCCTGCCTATCAAAGCTCCAGTTCAAATTGGTCTCATACATCTTGAGTATTAACTTCCTCCTGGACAGTGGTTTTCAAACGTTAGCTCAGGATAAAACCAAACCGAACGCACTGCCATCAACTTTGTGCTGACTCATAGCAACCTTATAGTCCAGGGTGGTACTGACTCCGTGAGTTTCTGAGAAAATAACTCTTTACAAGAGCAGGAAAAAAATCCCCAAATCCAAACTCGATGCTATCAAGTCAATGCTGACTCATAGCAACCCTCCTGTGGGTTTCAGAGACTGTAACTGTTCATGGGAGTAGAAAGTCCAATCTTTATGGGGTAGAGTGGCTCGTGGTTTTGAACTGCCGACCACACAGACTATAGCCTAACTTGTAATCAATACATCATCAGGGCTCCCAGGTACAAAGAAAATTCACACTGATACTAACAATGAGTGATGTAGTAAAGGATCTCAAAAGCTATGCCTACTTAGACAAGACAGCTCAATATTCTGTTAATTCATCCATTCCCATGCTTGTTCAACAAACTTTTATTAAAGAACTACCATGTAAAATCCCTGGGCGATGGAAATGTTTAAGCACTCCACTCCTAAGTGAAATGTTGGCAGTTCAAATATACCTAAGGGTGCCTTGGTAGAAAGACTTGGTGATCTACTACTGAGTGATCGCAGTAATTGGAAATGTATACAGAACATTCTGCATTCCACTCTTGCAGGATCAACTCATAGCCACTGTTTTTGTGTTGTTTCATTTGGGGTTAAATATCAGGTGACTAATGATATAAGCTACACAGTCATTCAAAGAACAAGATTCAAGTTTAAACACCAATTAGAAATCCTGAATAAATCTTCAGTAACATTTTTTTTCTCAAGGGCGCTCTGTAACTCTCATAGGGGAGGATAGGTCCCTAAGTTATTGCTCCCAACACCCTTATCTTCTCCTATGTTAGGCTCATCATTTGTCACTGTAAAACAATAACATTTTCTGTCTCCCTTTATATATATAAAGCTTCCTAAGGGCAGGATCCTGGGCTATCTTGTTCAACAAAGTATTCCTGAACGTTAGCACACTACCTGCCACATAGTAGATGCTTTCTTGATATTTGATAAGTAAACATGGCTTTTCCCTTATATATCATGGCCCTGACATAAATTGTGAAAGTAGCAACAAGTGCATTGATGGTTGCTGCCCGCAAGTCTTTGCCCTCCTCACCAGAGAACTATTTGGCAGGTCAGAACACCCTGCTGTCTCTGTCACTGATTTACTGCCCTTGACTTATGTAACAGATTCAGCTAACACAAAAAGCACTGCACTATTGACCCCCAAACATGACTGAGTAAATAGCACTCCCTTACATTTCCACCAATGGCATCGACATTTTAAAAACATGGAGGTATTTTAGTGAGCGGAATTTCTGCAAATAGATGTCTTCCCTTTGAAGACACACTAGCCTTCTTTGTCTTTGTAATAGTATGTTGCACGTAAGAGCATTCCTGTAACTGTGCTTCAATGTGGGGAAAGGTATAGAAAAATATTAGCAAGAACTAGAATTAAAGAAATGCATTGTCATTACTCCTGCATTGGTCATGTCATTCAAGTAGACATGGATGTCCGCACCTGCACCCAAGCATGAGAGTGACAATCTAGGTGAAAACTGGAGCTAAGGATGAATGTGTCTTCTTTGATGCTGACCTTCCAGACACAGTCGCTGAAGACAAAAATGGGTGCGTAGGCATATGCAGTGAAGAGAATGGATGGTGCCTGGCTATCTAGGATCTTAAAGACCTGAAGTTAAACAAGCGGCCATTCAGCAGGGAAGCAAATGAGCCCACATTGGCCTCTAGTTCCCGAATGCTTCTTGCCCCCACTACCATGACCCAATTTTACCTTACAAATCTGACTAGACTGGAGAACACACATTGGTACAGATAAGAGCTCTAGACACGTGGAATTCCGGACAGATAAACCCCTCAGGAACAGTGGGAGGACCGATGTCATGAGAGTAGGGGGATGGTCGGGGAGAGGGAAAGGGGTGAGAGGGGGAACCCCTCACATGGTTGGATTTACTGCCCCGCCCCCACCCGAAGGGATCAAAAAACAGACATGTGCCTGAAGGGAGACAATGGACAGTGTAAGATACGCAATAATAATAATAATATATAATTGATCAATGATTCACAAGGGTGAGAGGGTGGAGAGGGAGGGGAAAAAGGAGGAGCTTATACCAAGGGTTAGAAAGTGTTTTGGAAATGATGATGGCAACACATGTACAAATCTGCTTAATACAATTGATGTATGGAATGTTATAAGAGCTGCAAGAGCCCCAATAAAATGATTAAAAGGAATGAATGTGGCAGTCTGACACAGAGTCACCATAGGTTCACGATGATGAGCAGACCAAGAATAGCCCGTAAGAGAAAAAGAGAAGGTGCGGGAGAATCCCTGATGATGCTTGTATTTTGTTGGCAATACGATGGGATGGAAAGAACATGAATTATAGGGTCAGACAGACTTGGGTGCAAGTTCTGCTACTAACACTACCTGTATGCCTTTGGGTAGTTGATTTAATCTGTCTGAGCCTCAGTTTTTATCATCTCTAGAACTTAGTTATTTCAGAATTAAGGATGATCAATGATTATCAGAACTTGGTCTGAGACAAGTGTCAATGAAGTCTGCATTCAATCTACAAATATTTATTGAAAACCTACTATCTCTATCTTGTTCACAGCTGTATTCTCAGGCCCTAGTATCCCACCTGTCACACAAGAGACAGAAGAATTATTTGCAGAATGAGGGAGAAATCTCTGCTCATATGCCACACACACTCTGGCTCCCTTCCACTTTCCTTCTGACAATGGTAAGAATACCAGTCAGATTAGAAATAAGCAGGAATATGCAGAAACTTTTGATGTTCTAAGACTAAAATAATAAACTGATGGAAATTAAATCATAGTTCCAGTGTAGTTTAAGAAATACTAGTGCTTGGCACTTAAAGAATAACATCATAATGTTGTAGTGAAAAAAATCTTTCTTTTGGTCATCTTAACAGAAATTCTTTAAATCAGCAAGAATTTATACATCCTTGAAGTAAATCACTGTCGAGATTATTAAAGCACAATTTTCCTCAGTAATTGACATTTTGAAGAGAATTATTCTTTCATGTCATTTTAAGTAACACACATATTTGGTTTTCCAGTCTGGTTGTATATTCTTCTAAGAAAAATTAAATTAAAATTAAAATACAGTAGTTAGTGATTTTTAAATTGCATAAGTGAAAATTAAAGTAGACTATTTACTCAGTGCTATTAAATAGGTGAGACGTTTAAAGAAATTAAATGAAGTATTTTTCTTAACTTAAAGTCAATACTTGATTTTCAAAAATTTGAATTAAAATATTTCTATATGCAGCCTGTGATATCTAGAAGGAGTCCTGGTGGCATAGTGCTTATGTGTTGAGCTGTTAACTCCAAAGTCTACAGTTCAAGCCACCAGCTGCCCCTCGAGAAAGAGATGAGGCTTTCTACTCCTGTAAAAAATTAGTCTTGGACACCCACAGGGACAGTTCTTCCCTATCCAATAGGGTTGCGATGGGTTGGAATCAACTCAATGGCCATGAGTTTTTGACACCATACCAGGAAGAGACAAATTTGGTTGCATACTGTTAAGATGCTGCCACAAAGTATTGTTTAAGAAATTTTCTCCTGCTCTATACCTGGATAAAATGCTATCTTTCTATTGAAACAGTTTAAAAATTCTAATGAGAATGTGTTACTTTTTATATTAAAAGAAAATGTTATGGAGCAACAAACTTACTGAGATTTGGGTTGTTAACTTTGGTTTCCCTGTTGACTCTTGTAGTAGTTAATTCTGATTGCAACAAACAAAAAGCGGAGAGAAGTGGATTGGTGTCAAACCGGAAAGGATCATACCAATTAAAATAAAGATATAAACCTGTATATATAGATATACAAAAACCTGGAGTAACAACAATGAGGCTCACATGGAGATATATCACCAAACTTTGTATCCACTCACTATAATACTGATTTTGACTTATGGGTCTGCTAGCTACTAATTGTCCTGCTGGGACCGTTGGCACTTCAGTATTAACATTTCACATGGTGGGTTGCACTGGCCCAACAGCTCCATGGAGGAATGAGTTGGCCATCTGATTCTGTAAAGATTCCATCCACGAGAACTCTGCAGAGTGGTACAAATCTGTCAGACACTGGGTCACCATGAGTCAGATTCTACTTGATGGCAACAGGTTTCATTAGGGTTAGTCTACTATTTATTGAGAACTTCCTGAATATTTTCATTTATGTTAATAAAGGGGAAAAATGAAAATGGGTGAGAGCAAAAAGGAAATGTGGGCATTCTTCCCCCCAGTTCCCTGCCCCCACCTGATACTTGCCTTTACTGCATAAATTAATATATTGCTTTATTCTGATTCATTTCTAAAAGAATAAACACATGGTGCTTTAATATTACACTGGATTTTAATGCTCCCCTTTAAATAAATTGCCTACAACTATAGCTCTAAAATGTATGCATATATCTTTAGTGACCTCAATTTGAACGGAAGCGATGATTGTACGTGGATTGAACTCTTTGTCTCCCACATTTTTGAGAGCCTCTGAACCCTTCACATTAACTTACAAGAAATGTGATGTCCCTCTCTTCTGAGCAGTGTCCTCATTTCTCTTCCTTTTGTCCAATCAAGTGAACGGAACTTCTAAATTCAGCCAACAGAAAAGAAGAGTTGTACAACAAGTAAATAAATCTTGCTGGGAAGATGTTGCTTAAGTGATAAAATGGTTCAGCCAACAAGTGAACCAAAAAATTAAATATTAACTAAGGAATGGTAACTGCTTCTAAAGTCCCATTGAATACAGAAGCCAGGGATATATAAGGCTGAACACCTCTCAGGTAAGTCTGCTAGCAACGGATGGCTTCTTGGAATTCTCGAAACTTTAAAACCATGAAGCATCTATTATTGCTGCTATTGTGTGTTTCTATAGTTAAGTGCCAACTTTCCACAGACTACGAAGATGAGGTGATTGTTTTAAAATGTTATATGATTACTAGTAGTACTAATATGAAGTGTAATCATAATTAAGTACAAAGAGAATATTTACTTTAATACAGTTATGTTGATTTTAGTGATGAAATTTAATTGTTGATCTCAGGGACCCATTTTACTTAAAGGATGTGTCATAGTGTTTTTAAATGTAAAAACATAATAATAATGTCTTACTTTCTGGTTTATTGCCTTTCCCCTCACTCAGGATGAAGATGCTGGGCCTGCGGTAAGATGTTTTTTTTCACTCTTGTTTCTATCCTAAGTACTATGATTTCTATTTAGTTCTAGTAAAACATCATTATAAGCCTAAGCACAAAAATCTGTAATCTCACATACTATAAAATAATAAAAATCAATTAAAAGCAATTGGGGCCAGTTGCTGTTTGGGGAAGGAGGGTAAGAACTATTGAAAATATCGGCGATGTATGAGTGGGAATTGGGACCTCACACTAAAAGCTGAATCAAGTGGAGTGAGAGAAAAACAAATTGCTGTTTTTCTCAGATGAGAACATTTAAATTGGCACTAATATTTGCTGTTATTTTTGGTCATCAAACACAGAGCTCAGTCTGATTTTATTCATCTGAAAAATCCTTTTTTCCTCAAGTGCTGTCTCAGCTGAGGGGAACGCTGGTGGTGCAATTCTCATGGTCGGCAGTTTGAAACCATTTACAGCTCTGTGGGAGAAAGACTGGGCTTTCTAATCCTGTAAACAGCTACTGTCTTAGAAATACACAGTGCGGTCTCAGGGAGCCAGTGCGGACTTCATGGCAGTGAGTTTAGTTTGGAGTTATCTCACTTGTCGTAGTACGAATGCTTTTAAGTTAACAAAATTCAGAAGTGCATTTAGGAAAATTAATAATTAAGAAATGTGAATTTTATTATTCAATAAATCATGGTCAGATTTCTTTTTGATAACCTATGGACTTCACACTAGGCTTATATGAATACCCAATAATATTGACATAGAGTGATTCATTTTGAATCACTTGTGGAATTTGAAGAGAACTGAAGTGTTCTACTCATGAGACAGCACTTAGAAAGATCACTATCTGGTTAATCGCATTGGTAAGCACAATGCAAAGAATGTGCAAGAGTAAACCTTTGCACAGGACTTTGCTAAGCACCTTTATATTTGTGCTCCAGCTAGTCCTCATAGCAACAGTGTGCTAGTTTAGATCCAAAGTGGATTTTCTGGGTTTTGTTATTTCAGTAAGTGGTCTTCATAGACTTAAATGTCTACATAATTTATTTATTTTTCTCCCTTGTTTTGTTTCCTTTTTCTATTAAAGTCTGTCAGTGCTACCTTTCCAGTGGTACTCTAGAACAAAAGAATAATCCAATTTTTCTGTTGCAATTTGATTTGCGTTCCTACTAGTAATTATTACTAGTAATTAGCAGGTGCATCACATCTCCTACAATTCCTCTTAGATCAGATGAACTTTGGCTGGGACCAAGTCCTAGACATCCATGAACTATATCTACTTCTCCCAAATCCTCACACTTTAGGATGCATGTTCCATGCATGTTCAGAGGAGTTGGAGCAAGCTGTCTGGGTTTCAATCTTAGCCTCCTCATTAAATTATTATGACTTAAGGAATAACTGATTCTACAATTGCTAGTAGTCATGCAAGGACTTCTAAGGTGCCTTAGTGGTGTAGTGGTCACAAATTGGGCTGCAATGCTTATAGTCAACAGTTTGAAAAGACTGGGCTGTCTACTGCCGTAAACCGTTGTAGTCTCAGAAACCCGCAGTGGAGGTGGGTGGGGGTGGAGTCGGGGGTGTCACTATGAGTCAGCATTGATTTGATACCAGTGAGTTTGGTTTGGGAGGGTCATTTCTAGGGTCACGAAATAGCAAGAGCACTTAAGTGGTTTATTCATCAAAAGGAGCAACTACTAACAAAGATCCTATTAGAATATGGGAGCTGCAAGCCCACATTGTCATATCGTGTTTACTCCCACATTACAATGTAATGTTGACAAATACTTCGTTTTCTAAATACATTAGCAAATAATGTATTTTAAAGTTGCCAAATAATTGCAATGGCACTGCTCATAACTTCGGAAAGGTACACACAAGGAAATCATGGTGTTGATAAAGAAATCAGGTAAGAAATATCAAGAGAAGAGTTGATCAAGTAATCTCCTTGATAGAAAACAATGATTGATTGAAATTGGCAGTGGAGAAGCCATGTAACCTTTAATATCTGTTACATGTCATTTCAATGATAAGGAACACCTCGTGTGCCAGGTACTTTTCTGACTGAATCATAGCAGTAAGTCATTTAATCCTGACAAAAAGCTTTCAAGTCAGATAAGCTTTACTGTTTGTTTTTTTCAGGTATTGTAGTTTTATTTTATTTATTTATTTATTTATTTATTTTTAACATTTTATTAGGGGCTCATACTTATCCACATTTTACAGATGAGAGAACTGGAGCACAAAATACCTTGCCCAAGTATCTTACAGCTTACTGTTTTGTGTGTTCCAATGTAAAGTTCTCAGGAATCTGATGCCATTACTATTCATTTTCTGCTGTGGGTTTGTCTTAGGACCTTCCTTTAAAACTCACTGAGCGTGCATAATCTTTGTGTACTGTCGGTCTTCCTACTGTGATGGGAGAGACCATGTAACCTACTGATACATGACCTCGACGGGTCAGGTGATGCTTACACAAAGCGTCAGGCTTGTGATACCCTTGTTTAATAACCAAGGCTGCCGGACCAATTAGTTCTCAAATGTTCTGTATCACACCCTGTCTTTCTTTTCTGCCTGGTTCCCTGAAGGCCACACTGGATGCCCGTGGCCATCGACCCCGTGACAAGAAAAGGGAAGAAGCTCCCAGACTGAGGCCTGCCCCACCTCCCCTTAGTGGAGGTGGCTATAAGGCGCGTCCGACTAAAACAGCCCTTGGCCAAAAGAAAGTGGAAAGGAAAGCCCCTGATGCTGGGGGCTGCCTTCATGCTGATCCAGACCTGGTGGGTACACTGACGCCTCTTACAAGGTGACCAGATTTAAAGGGGGACACCATTGACGGGGTGGTGGTGGTGGGGGTGTTCTTGATTAAAAATTTGGTCTATATGGACCAAATAGATCGTGCCCTAGCTTGTCGTGCATTCTTTCAAAAAATCAGGACTTTTAAAAAACGCCAAAAATCGGGACTGTCCCGCCAAAAGTGAGATGTCTGGTCACCTTGCTCTTGCAGTAGGAGGCCCGGATTCAGAGAAAGGCTACATCCATCATGATCGCTAATGCTGCCTACACTCTTGCTGTCATCATGGTTATTTTCTCTGCATATTTTGACAGTGAAATACCAAGCTGATTGTGCCTTTGACCTTTACTTTGACCAGAATTCTTGGGTCTGGGCCTACAAAAACATGAAGGTGTTTTCTTTACCTTTGTGTCGTGTCTGCTTCTTTTGTGATACAGTTTGTGTACTGAATTATATATTTTTTGGTGGTAAAGAATATTTTTAATCTTTGTAGTAACCCAACCATAAATATGAATATTTAGTCTCATAGCAAGAAAGTCAAATCACAAGATTTTATAATGGTAATCTTATCATAAAATGTATGCTGGGTGCTATTTAGCCATCCACCGCATGCACGAGTCCTTCATTTTAAGCTTGGTATTTTCTTGCCTACAGGGAGTGCTGTGTCCTACAGGATGCCAGTTACAAGATACTTTGGTAAACCAGGAACGACCCATCAGAAATAGTGTTAATGAGTTAAATAACAACCTAGAGTCTGTCTCCCAGACAGCTTCTACCAGCTTCCAGTATATGACCCTACTCCGAGACATGTGGAAAAAGAAGCAGAAGCAAGTAAAAGGTAAACGAATGCCCAAGTGTTTTCTGTTTGGTTCTTAGTTATGAAATAGAAACTGCTTAGCTGCTATTGGAATACACGAGAAACGTAACCTTTCTAGGTTAGTCTGCAGAGCATTCACACCGCTCTCAGCCTGAGCGTGATCACCTCATGGGCCTTAGCTGGGTACCCTCTCCTGAAACTTGACTACTACGGTTGTCATCAAACTCTCATTTCCAGTTTGGTGTCAGGAAGGAAGATTTTCATCTTCGGCTTCCCAGCAACTTGTCTTGTGACACAGAAGAGGTGATGTTCCTGGAGTAAGACTTTAACTTTCATAGATTAATGTTCAAGGTTTTGATTATGACAGGATAATTCATGATGTGTTCAATTGTATCGGGAATAATAATCCCTAACTTTCGAATCTTGATCTCTGATTGTTGAGAGCTATTGGTTTTAGGCTCGCTGCCATTGAGCCAATTCCAACCCTATAGGATATATGACTCTTACTCCTTTAGGTTTATGAAACTTTAAATCTTTTTTGGAACAGACAACCTCATCGTTCTCCCTTTGAGTGGTCAGTGGGTTCCAACCACTGATGCTGCACCATCAGGATGACTGGCTTAGACTAAGGGGCCTACCAGTTAATTGTTATTATTATGAGATGCCATCGTGGTCTGTATCATATTCACAATGATTGAGCCCTTCTTGTGGACAAGGTGTCAATTCATCTTGAGCATACTCCTCTCTTTTGATGACCCTCTACTTTGATCAAGCATGATGTCCTCCAAGGACATGCCCAAAGCATATGAGAGAAAACCTTGCCATACTCAATTATCAGGGGCATTCTAGCTGTACTGACAAAACAGATTTGCTCCTTCTCTTGGCACTCCTTGGCGTACTCAATATTGCTTTCCAGCACCCTAATGTAAGTGCGTCAATTCTTTGCTGTGCTTACTCACTGTACAACTTCCATAGGCACATGAGGTGACGGAAACTATCATGGCTTAGTTCAGGTGTGATTTAGTCTTCAAAGTCATATCTTTGCTTTTTAACACTTTAAGGAGATGTTTTGCAGCAGAATTGTCCAATGCCGTATGCCATTTGGTGTCTCGACTGCTGCTTCCATGATTGTGGACCCAAGTAACGTGAAATCCCTGGCGAAGCCAGCCTCTTTGCCGTTTATCATGCTTGTTGTGTTGTGAGGAGTTTATGCTGAGATTTAATTAGGTTAGCAGTTGTCCTTGTTAGGTGCCATTGAGTTTGTTCTAATTCACGATGACAACAGAGTGGAACACTATCTGGACCGGTGCCGTTCTCACAGTGGTTCTTAGTTGGAACTCCTTGTTGCAGCCACTGTGTCCATCCAGCTTGTTGAGAGAGCTAGTCTCTTTTTCGCCGCCCCACTGCTTTACCGAGCATGATGTCATGTCTTTCTCCAGAGACTGGTCTCTCCTGACAGCATGTCCAAAGTACTTGAGACAAAGTCTCACCATACTTGCCTCTAAGGAGCATTCTGACTATTCTCCTTCCAAGACAGATTTGTTAGTTCCTTTTGACAGTCCATGGGACTTTCAATATTCTTCATGGTAGCAGCATACCCACATTTGGGGATTTTTTTGGTCAAAGAAAATGTGACATCTGTCTTGTGAATGCCAATGCTCTCCTGTATCTACGTGGGATGGTTAAGGAGATTAAATGCATCCCCTTCACAAGAAGTTAAAGTTCTAAAAAAATTAAAAAGAAAGAAAGAACAAGAAGTACAAGTCAAACTTCGGAGGTGGGTGGTCCAAATACTACTTTTTCCTCTTTTCTTCACAACAGAAATAACGATCTATCTTATTACCAGGCCTGCTTTTAGGCTAAAACCTAAGGTAGATAGATTGCATGTTAGTTTGTACATGCCACGAACCAAATAATGCCCCCCACAAATGCAGCTGCATAACATGCAGACTGATGGTGCCGTAATGTCTATTTATTCCAAACAAATCAGAATCATGCAGATGCACATGTTTAGCATTTTATGAAATGAAAATGCTGACCATTGCTAAAACAATTTATATTTACAGATAACGAAAATGTCATTAATGAATACTCCTCCTTGCTGGAGCAGCAGCAGTTGTATATCGATGAGACTGTGAATAGTCATGTCCCCAGTAACCTTCGTGTGCTCCGTTCAATCCTGGAAAACCTGAGAAGCAAAATACAAAAGCTGGAATCTGACATTTCAGCTCAGATGGAATATTGCCGCACACCATGCAGTGTCAGTTGCAATGTTCCTGTGGTGTCTGGCAAAGGTAACTAACCAGTAAGAATATTTCTATAGGATTCCAGAATGTACACCTCTAAAACTCACAGAACCACCACAGCAAAATCCAGTGCATTTTCCCAAATGTTCATAATGGCATCATAGCAAGGCTGAACATCTTGCACAGTAGGAAGATCTCCTTGGTATGGTGTGTCCTAACTGGAAAAATTTCCTGTGCCAGTTCTTGAGGATCAGGATGGGTTCTAATGATGGTGGAGGCTACAGAACTGGCTGCTAAGTACATGGATCATCTTGCCTGGACAGAGGATGGGATCATCCAAACCAACCCTACTGTCCTCAGATCGATTCTAACTTAGAGTGGCTGCATATGGGATTTGGGAGGCTGTGCATAGAATTTCGAGGACTGTTCAAAGGTTCTCAAACGTTGGCTTACAGCCTCTTTTTCTGAAAACAAAACAAAGCAAAAACTCAGCCTCCTTCTAGCAATTAAAATCCATAATAGAGGATAAAGTGTAGGTGTCTGCTTTTGCAAGCTCTCTGAGTTATTCCAGCACCCCTCAAAACCAAAACAAAACAAAGCACAGCAAACCCCAAACTCAACTGCCATTGAGCCAATTCTGACTCAAAGCAACCCTGTAAAACAGGGTCGTTCAGGCCCTGTGGGTTTCCCAGACTGTAACTCTTTCCTTGAGTAGAAAGTCTCGTCTTTCGCCCCCAGCACCCCTCCAGGGAGGCAGTATTGTCCACTTTGGGAAACATTGCTGTCAACCTTTACAGGTAACTTCATCTTTCTCCCATAGAACAGCTGGTGGGTTGGAATCATGGGCTTTGCTGTTCCTAGTCCAACACTGACTCCACAAGCACAACCAGGACCGCAGGTAGATGTGGAAATATTCCCATGACCAGGAAGTTTCTGAGTATCCCCGAGTGCAGAGAGAAGAGGGCTTTTTCATCCACTTTGTAGAAAGAACTCTTCAAACAGATTTGACTTTCAGCAAAAGGAAGATTCCGTTTCTATAGTAGTATTTTTACCTATGTAAAACATCTTTTAAATCCTATATAATAAGTGATTGTAATGTAGAATTGGTGGCAAGACCGTGTCATGGCGCTGTAGCTTCGTGAGTACAATATCATACCGTATGATTGCAGAATGTGAGGAAATTATCAGGAAAGGAGGCGAGACATCTGAAATGTACCTCATTCAGCCCGACAGTTCTATCAAACCCTACAGAGTGTACTGTGATATGAACACAGAAAATGGAGGTAAGTTTTGGATAATTGTTGATCTGTTATTATGTGGTTATTTGGATTCTGCAAAGAGACAAGAAATAAAAGCTAACAGTAATGTGACTAACAATATGATGTTATGTGGAATTTATTTGGATTGTTTTGAAAGTTGTAAAATATCTGTTATTCACCATGTGGGATAAAAACATGCCCTTCCTTAAAAGATTTCAGGGGGTTCCTTTTCATGTTTATTTCCTTTTTATATGTAATTTGGAGTACTGTATATACTGAAAAACAGAAAAAATAAATTAAACACACTGTCTTGGACAGATTAAACTGTTCATAGGATTCCCAAGGCTATCAATCTCGATAGCAGCAATCCGACTGCCTCCCCTCCTGGTGGGTTTGAATTTCACCAGTATCTGAAGGCTTTGAATTTCACCAGTGCCTGAGGGTTTGAATCTCAGCAGTGTCTGTCTGCGGGTTTGAATCTCAGCAGTGTCTGTCTGAGGGTTTGAATCTCAGCAGTGTCTCTCTGAGGGTTTGAATTTCAGACATTGCAGTTAGCAACCCAACTCGTACATTTGTATAGCCCATTATGCCAGCATGGCTCCTTCTTTTGAAGTCCCATATGGTATAGTCATAAAATAAACGAAATGAACAAAAGATCCAAATATTTGCCTCAAAGTTGGTTAATTTGTGTTGTTTCTTCAACCAAAGGGTGGACAGTAATTCAGAACCGCCAAGATGGTAGTGTTGACTTTGGCAGGAAATGGGTTCCTTATAAACAAGGATTTGGAAATGTTGCAACCAATGGAGATGGCAAAAACTTCTGTGGCCTACCAGGTAAAACTGGGAATTAAAAACCAAAATTATTCTCTTTAATTGTCGACACTTGTCCCCTCATTAAAAATATCATGAAGTACTGAGAGTCAATGTATGGAGTTTGGTGGGGTTGGGAGGAGTGAAATTACAAACGAGTATGAACAAAAGAGAAATACTAAGGAAAGAAAGGCAGTTGTTTTTTACGATTCCAAAAGTTTTCTATTTGGGGATGTTTTATCTTACTTTTACCTCTAGGTGAGTATTGGCTTGGAAATGATAAAATCAGCCAGCTTACCAAAATGGGGCCCACGGAGCTTTTGATTGAAATGGAAGACTGGAAAGGCGACAAGGTGAAGGCCCTCTATGGAGGATTCACTGTGCAGAATGAGGCCAGCAAGTACCAGATCTCAGTGAACAAATATAAAGGAACGGCTGGCAATGCCCTCATGGACGGAGCTTCTCAACTGGTGGGAGAAAACAGAACTATGACCATTCACAATGGCATGTACTTCAGCACATATGACCGAGACAATGACGGCTGGTATGTTGTGCATTCTTCACTCCTGCCTGAAAGAAAACTGCTAATAGCCTTACTCAAAGCCATTCATGACGATGACTCTCGTCAATAACTAGCATTCCTTAGGAACGAGCAGTTCCTAGACACTATTTGAATAAGTGCCTGGTGGTCCTGCTGGGTAAACACTAGGCTGCTAGCCACAAGGTCAGCAGTTCAAACTCACCAGCTGCTCCAGGAGAAAGATAAAACCATAAAAATAAATAAATAGAAAATAATTAGCATTTTCCAGGAACTTTCTGTGTGTTAGCCATGATACTCTACTCTTTATAAATTATAGTTAGGCATTCCAGCTATAAGGTAGTCATTATTATTAATTATTATTGTTATTCTAATTTTACAGATGATGTTTTGAGAAATTTAATTATTTACCCCAAATGATACAACTACTAAGAGACAGAACTTGATGTGATTCACAGTTATTTCTGAATAATGAGTGTTAAAAATGAAGATGATCCCCATAGTCTAGTGGGTACATGAAAACTATTTTGTTTTCCAAGATGCTCAAAGACAAAGGGATCTGATAGCTATCATTGAAGTGTGATAACTCACAGATGAATTTGCCACATAGACCTAGTTTTCTGTCTTTTTGGAAAAAAGCTAAAAAAGACCTTTGGGGTATGGACAAGGTTTTATTTATAAAGGTCAAGGATGGGACTACCAAGCACATGCCTAAGGGTAGCAGTATTCTGTGAGTAGCCTACAAAGAGTTGAATATTAGCATTGTAGTCTTGTCTCTAATAACTCCAAATGCATTTCCTTTCAGGATAACAGCAGATCCAAGTAAACAGTGTTCTAAGGAGGACGGTGGTGGATGGTGGTATAACAGATGCCATGCAGCCAATCCAAATGGCAGATACTACTGGGGTGGACATTACAGGTGGGATATGGCAAAACATGGCACAGATGACGGAATAGTCTGGATGAATTGGATGGGGTCATGGTACTCTATGAAGAAGATGTCTATGAAGATCAGACCCTTCTTCCCACAACAATAGTTCCCCCAACAGCATAGGTTTTTATTCTATATATGGAAACACTTTTGTACATGATGTTATTGCAATTTTCTTTCATATATTAGTTCCCACAAGAACTGTCAAAAGATTGTGAGTGTGACATTTTGGAAAAATTATTTGGGATAAATAATATTAAAAAGGGCACAGAACTTCCTTTTTTAAATTGCTCATTTGTATTGCTCACCAAGAGAAACCTAAAAGGATAAACAGGATCAGAAATTCTATGCCAAGTGATCATGGAAAATTTCAATTTAGCAACAGCAATTTTCTATACTTATTGAAAAACTGCAAAGCATCCCCCACCCCCACCCCCGCGCAAAAAAACCCTTAAATTTTAAAAAGCCCACTTTAAGAATTCTATTTACTTATATAAGGTCTATCACACATCAAAAAGGCTTTCAAAAATATATGTTCATTAAACCAGTCTCTGTTCAACTAAGCAAATGTTCTCTTATTTTGTACCATACTTGCAGCTAGCGAATTAGGCTTTGACGTCATGAGGAAAGGGATTCATTCTCACTCTCAAGTATCTGATAAGCTGGCCGCGAACATTTAAGGTTCATAATGTTACTTGCCACCAGGGCAAAGCCAGTACTGTGTTGCTTAACTAACTATCCACTAGGGCCAGATTTTGCAATGAGGACCAACTTGGCACCACTGGCGTTGCTGTGTTGTGAAATAGACAAGTAGAAAGCAGCAGTTACCATTGCCCTTGGAAGTAAGGCCCATTGGCCTCAACTGGGCTTTTGCTCAGTAAATTAGAAGTGGGTTTTCCATCCCCCCACCCCTCGCCCCGCTCCGTGGCATGGCATGGTGGTACATCTCTCAGGGTTTCTTTCACCGTGCATTCTCCCACCACTTCTCTCCAACACTATAAACAACCCTAGGGCCCTAAGTCTTCATTGCCGATTTCCCTGACCACATAGCATCCCAAAGCCCCTGCCTTTATCCTCTGCATCTTAGCAGACCCTGAATCTTATCATTCGAACTCAGAAATGTAGCTGCTCACTTAATCCCGCCTCCAACCCAAATTCAACCTTTACCGGGTTCCCCTGTCCCATTCCTAGGTGATATGTAACTTGTAAGTCTAGCAGCCTCACCTCCACCCCAAATCCATCTCTCTAGCCTTCTGTCATATCATCTTTTGTTCTGACAATAGAGAGCTCTGACCACATAATTTTTCTGCTTCATGCTAACTTGACTAGTTGGGCTTGAGGATGGCTTACCACTTAGTCTCCAGGCCATCTTCTGATCCCACCATGACACATCTGCATTTTTGTCACAGGGGTGCTTTTGTGATTTGTGTTAGTCTGAGTAGACTAGAGAAACAAATCCATGGACACACATATGTGTAAAGAAAGAGATTTATATACAAGAGCAATTGAACATTGAGAAAACATCCCAGTCCAGTCCAGATCAGGTCCATAAGTCTGATACTAGCCCATATGTCCGGTAGCAATCTATAAAGTCCTCTTCAGACTCACAAAACACATGCAATGATGCTGAATGCAGGACGATCACAAGCCAGTGGGTAGAAAGTCTTTGGGTCCAGTGGCGTTGTAAGCATCTCAGCGCTGGCAGGGGTCTCTGTGGCTTCTCCGACTTCTGAGGTGTGGTTGCGTCCATGTGGCTTGTCTTCTGCAATGTCTCCCAGGGAGTGAGCCTTGTCAGTAGAGAGTCTCCAAGGGACTGAACTGAGAGAGGTACTGTCTCCTGCCTCCAAGAAGGAACTACCAGATTTCTCAGAATTCTCAGGAGACGGCCATGCCCGCACAGAAGTCTCATTGGCTATCTCTAGATTGCCAGCCTAGACTCCACCCCTACACTCTTAATCCTTACATTGACACCAGATTAGGTAACTATCACATGATTCTAGGACAAATCAGGCTCTTTGGAGACTTTCATACCTAAGCATGTGACCCACTTTTTGCCAACACACCTTCCCTGGCACCCTCTGACAAATTGTTACTCATTCTCAAGCCTTGCTTTTACTATCACTTCCCTGTCAAGCCTTTCTGAGCCCTTTGGGCAATGTTTGTTCCCTTTCAAAGATTAACAGTTATATCTGTTTACACATCTTTCTCCCTCATTAATCTGTGAGCTACAGAGTAGGCTATTCATTATCATTGATGCCAAAATCAACCTGTCAGAAAAGACAATTTTCAATAACTTGAATGAGTGAACTCACTATCAGAAAATTTAAAATATTCCCAATGCTGCCGAGTCAATTACAACTCTTAATGTCACCCTGAGTAGAACTCTTCCAAGGCTGTAAACTTTATGAGGCAGACTGCCACATCCTTCTCCCACTGTGTGGCCAGTGGATTTGGATCACAGACCTTTTGGTTCACAGTCCAGGGCTCAAGTGTTTTAACTACTGGGCCACCAGATCTCCTTATAAAAATCTTGGGTATCCCCTTTATGTATGTATGTGTATACATCTTGAGAGAGAAAGAGAGACAGGGAGAGAGACCAACTTTTCATTAAAGAAACACAAATTTAATATGCAATATCCACAAAAGCAGAACTTTAAAATAAGTTCTATTGGCATATAATTCACATATCATACAATTCAAAAGTGTACTCATATTCAAAAGAGTTATACAATCATTACCACAATCCATTTTAGAACATATTTCTTCTTTCTTGGACTCATTGTTATTAGCTCTGCATTTCTCTTCAATTCCTTCTGTCACCCTCTAAGAAACCATTAATCCAGTTACTGTCTCTATAGATTTACCTCTCCTGAACTTCATATACAGAAAAATATACAAAAAACCTCCACAAAAATTAACAATAACAAAGCAAAACAATGAAAAATCTCAATAGAAACAAAAACAGAAAATATTAAAAATGAGAACAAATTTAAAGTAGGTTAAAAGGGAGCTCAAATGATAAGATGTAAAACTTTTGAAGTAAGGCTGAGAGTATTAAAAGCCCATTGAGTGGAAGCTGGGTAGGGATGGCAGGAGCCCAATCCAGACCTATATGTCTGAACTAGGTAATTCAATTGTCAATTCTCAGTTCCTATGCAATTAGTGTATATACACAGACCACTCATGGGTAAAATAAAACATGTTCATCTATTTATCTATAAAGAATAAGCTTTCTTAAGGTATCATTCAGTAAGAAACACAGTTTACCTCTTTTTGTTCCATTCAAATGTCACACTTTAAAGATAATCATAAAGTACCTTTCCCTAGTGACAATATGTACAACAGTCCCTAAAAGCTTTATTTAAACAAGGGATTAATGAGATAAAAATTTAGTTTAAATTGATTGATCCAAAATATGTATTGTATTATCCAATTCAAGGTCCTCCCTGGTAGTGCTGTGGGCTAGACCTTGGACAGCTGATAACAAAGTAAGTGGTTCAAACCAACCACTTGCTCCTTAAAAGTCTGCTTCCTCAAAGATGACAGTGTTGGGAAGCATTCCATTCAGAAGGTCGTGCACTATAATCCAAATTGATTTCAACAACAAAAGGAAGCTTTTGATAATGGGTTTACACATTTAGTAGCTCAGAAATCCTATGAGTGGGAATCAACTCAATGGCAGTGGATTTGGGTTTCATTTTGATTATTATACAATCAATTTATGGCATACTGTATGCAGCAAACTAAAAATGGAACATACACTTGGCCATACATGTTTGCATTTAAAAACCCAGGGAATCAACTAACTAACATACTACGGGATTGTCTTCTTAACTGAACACAGATTTCCCCACCTGGGACAAAAATATAATTTATGTGACACACCACTAGCTACAGCAGCACATCAGGAATTTTTGTTTAATGATTACACACCTAATGTCATGTTTGCTGTTCATGAGAACCACTTACAGAAAAGTTTCATAGATTGTTCGGTAAACATCTATATGCCCTTTGTGTACTATATTTGATTTCTCTCTGAAAGAGCGTTACTTTGAATTCAGTTTAGCAATAGTTTGTATAGGCATGCAACCTTGAGGTCATGGACCCACAGAAGGACAAAGTCAAAAGTGGATTTAGCAAATATTTTTCAGAGTATTCTGTTGCAATCAACAAGTACTGGCTTTCAGCAAAGAGCTGATTAATAGGGAGAACACCACTGTTCAATAGCTGAGCCTTTCTCAGCTCACACCTGGTGAGTATTTTTAAGCTGAATATGAAAGAGCAGTGTGCCGAATATGCTTTTTTTGCCTCCTTGATTTAAAGTGTTGCTCATTTAGTACTTGATAATGGGAGTGATGGTGGCCTGCTCTTCTTTAAGAATTCATTTGAATTTCTTCTTCAAGTACACATTCCTCATGACACCTCTTGCTTATATGATGTTTGTTTTCCTTACATGTTTGATAAATGTCATGGAAACCATGTGTGACTCCACTAGCTTCACTAGATGGAAGGAAAATCAAACTCCATATCTGCCAAGGTGGGCCCCTATGAAGCAGAGGTCCTGACACCAGCCATCCCTCTCACCATACTCTACTTCTTTTGGGGGATTAATAATCCATTGCAGTGGCCACATAGAACTCACAGATAATTCTCACGCTTATGGGGTTTATATAGGAAAGTCAACAGGTTACAAGACAGGATCAGAGAATGTTAAGGATACTGAGGTAGCTAGTTTATTGTGCCAGCCTGGCCGATAAACACATGTGGGATTAATTGAAGGGCGGAGAGATAAATGGCTCGGCAAGCCTCAACTTTCTTGTCTCTCGCTCTTTGATCACCGGACCAGTGTGCGGCTGCCTTGCTTGTTCTGTGCCTTAATTTGCAAGCTACACTACCTGTGGACTGGGTCACTGTAATTTGAGATTCCTTTAAGACCTGCCTCACCACACAATTAGAATTTACATCTCTTGAGCTGGGGACTGACTGTTGGTGACCTGACTGTTGGTGACCTGCCTTGCTGTTTGCTGCCTGTGCTGGGATAGCCTGAATCTCTCTACAGAGGACCACCTGGCAGCCCTCAAGACTTGAAAGACTGCCAGTGTCTCACAACTCTCTCAAGGGAGTGAGTTGCACTGAGTCATTTGTACTGCTTTATATTTAACTATTCATTTCTTGTATTATCTATCTATCTATCATGTAACTGTTCATTTCTTGTGTTATATATCTCTATCTATCTATCTATCTATCTATCTATCTATCTATCTATCTATCTAATTATTAGCAATCTGGTTTTGTCTCTCTAGAGAACCCTGTCTAACACAGACTGATCTTTCCTCAGCCATATCTGAAAGTATGTTTTTCTGTTCCTAGACCTCTCAGCCATGCAGTTCTTTGGCCTTTCCAATACTCAGACAGGTGTTATAAAGCTCTTTTAACACTCAGAAATGATCAAGGATCACCCAAATTTACAAACCAACCTCCTATCTGAAGGCACTCAGCTGTACAAAACCCATGGGCTGGTAAGCCCACTGCTCTGTCTCATGCTGCCACTGCCACCTCCCTG